GAAGTACCAACTCGCAGCTCGCATCTCACGGTCCTTTTTTCCACAGAGCGCTCTCGGTAAGTCGGTGAGTTGACACAAAAGGCCTAAGGCCATTGGTCGTATTGTGCCCTGACACATACACATGTGCTGGCACAAAGGTCTGGTGGTCGAAGACACACAAGCTTGGTAGAAAAGCAAGCGTATCCCGTATACCCTCTCCCATCATCCGGCAGGAAGAATCAGGGAGGGAGGGTGGGACAAAAGAAAAAGACGAAGAGAAGCTGAGCCAATGCTGCAGAGCGTTTGGAGTATGGTGCTTCAAGCAGCATGAAGGCCCTACACCAACCAGCCATTCTTTCATGCTGTGCAAGAAGTACCAACTCGCAGCTCGCATCTCACGGTCCTTTTTTCCACAGAGCGCTCTCGGTAAGTCGGTGAGTTGACACAAAAGGCCTAAGGCCATTGGTCGTATTGTGCCCTGACACATACACATGTGCTGGCACAAAGGTCTGGTGGTCGAAGACACACAAGCTTGGTAGAAAAGCAAGCGTATCCCGTATACCCACTGTTTCAGAAAGGCAAATCACCCACTGTTTCCGAAGCGCTAGTCAGAAGAGCCTGCAGATTGCCGCGAAAGCCCGCATCTGGAAAGGCGAACTCCTCGATCTGCCATGGCTGTTTCTGAGTCCAGGGGCATTCGAGACCCAGTCTAGAGAGTCCGTCACTCGGATTTGAGTCAGAATCCACCCATTCGAAGAAGACACGAAAAGAGAGATTGGCCCGTAGCACAGCGGCGTAGTGAGCAATCTCATGTATGTCCCCTTCTTTGCTGCTGCCAGTGATGGCAGCAGAAACTGCTGCCTGGTTGTCTATAAACCAGAGCGCATCCATGTTCCTAATCAAATTAGGGTAGAGGAGGGGGATTACTAGAACCGCTAGGGTCTCACCTGGGAATATTTGTTGCACCCTTGGCTTCCAGTCAGACAGGACTGCCTCAGGTACCAAGCACGTACCGGCTAGAGTCTGCTGAGGAGGCGGAAAGAAGAGCACCCAGCCGAGGCGCAATTCTCCTTTTTCAAAAGATGCATCTGTGTAAATCGTCATGAAAGGCGGTGCCTGCGCAACAGCATCCATGACGCGTGGCCTGGCAGTGCGAACCATATGCCTGAGACATGTAAGCACCACTCGATCCTCCTCTGTGAGGCAGGCAATACCCTCGCACTGAGCCTGACGCAGCAGTGGACTAGCGTAGCGAGCTGCATTGCCCGCGCACGCGGAAAACATCCACTGGATGTCTCCGCGAAGTTTGCTCGCCTCGTCGCGTGAAAGGGTGCCTGATTCAAGAATCGCATCAAGTTTGGAGCACACCTTACGCTTGGTAGACTCCTTGCACTGCATGAAGAGCATGCGGTCGTAAGTGGCATCGCCCACATGAATCGAGACCCCTAAGAAAATCCTATCAGGTGCAGGAGGAAAACTCTTAGCAGGCTGAGGCGGCGCTCCCATGCACGTGGAGGCTGCAAGCACACCTTGACGTGAAATATCGGATGTCGCCACGGCCTCCAGGGCAAGCATGTCATCAAAGTATGACGAAGAAAGTGCGGAGCAGCATCGTCGTGAAACGGCGATGCACAAGCAAGGGAACCTATTGAAGGCCACGACTGCGGCTTCCAGCCCGTACGCCAGCCCCCACAAAATAGTAAAGCGCCAACCGACCTGTGGGACGAAAACAGCTGCAATTGACACTGCAAGGTGTTCGGGACACACTGGCAGACCACGGTATGCGTCAGGTAAGTCCTCAGTCCCAACGCGAAATCGGATCCAATCTGGCACGTCTTGAGGCAACTCAAGCAAAGATAAAGCTTGCCTAATGACTGCCGGAACGAAATCAACATTCGTTGTCCAAATTGTCTCATGCAGACAGGCATGTGCATTGTGATTAGTCTTGCGTGCATTATCAATCACGCGCAACTTGCCCTGCTGATTGAGAACAAAACGTTCCAGGGGGCGCCAATTTCCTTGGCCGAAGATGGCGTCAAGCTCAGCTTTGGACTTGAGGGGAGAACAGAAACCTTTATCAATCTCCTCCAAGGTGACCTGAAGAATCTCTTGGTGCATCTTTGGTGGAGGGGAGTGAATGATGTTCTCAACTGCTTCCGCTGCCTCGGTTCGCAGCCAGTCCTCAAGGGCTGGGGCTTCCTTAGGGGCTACGCTTCTAAAAAGGTGTGAAGATGCGATGTCACCAACGATCTCAAAACCTTTGACGAGGGCAGCGGCGATGGCTCGATCCGGCCACCTAAGGACGGAAACCATGCAAGCTACAAATGCGGGGCTTTTCTTGGCTGCGACGCGTCGAGAACTTTCGACACGGAAGGGCCAAAGCGCATCATCGAGGGGCTGAAGGGCCTTACGTACCGTGCGCAAAACATCCCTCTGTCGCTGTGCTAGACAAGGAAGGTGCTCGCGCCAAACTGATAGAGCTTGCAGGGGAACATCAATGTCCTTCTCGGGCCATGCACAGGGCTCGAAAGGAGAAGGCAGTTGGGCACTGTGTTCTATATGCAGCTCCTTACCTAAACCCGGGGGCAGAAGAAAATCCAAACCCTTAGAGGAGTCGGACGGGTACCTCTGCCCTGTGATGCTCGTGAACACTTTAGCCCTGGATTTTCTGTCAAGCGAAGTGGGGCCGAGCTCGTACCAGTCGTAGCCCCTACCTCGAGCAAACATGACATGAATCTGCAGAAGGGCTAAGTCGCAGAATGACAAGAGGCGCGTTGTTTCCTGCCAGACGCTGCGGTCAACGAGAAAATCCCTGAGCTGCTCCTGGATGTCTTGCACAAGAGCCGGTGCGTCCAAGAGGCCTGGGAAGGCAGCGCGCTTGCAAGGGTCCCAAGGCGTGCCGCTGATTCGATCGCGCAAATCTTGATCAGGCTGTAGCGATGACACTTGCAACTTTGACTGACAAAGTTGTGGCAGCATGGCCAAAATGACCATCACGGTGAAAATGTGGAAACCGTTGCCGAGGCGGCTGTTCTGCGCTTGTTTCCGTCTGTCACCGTCAGACTCTGTTGCTTCCAAGAGCGAGGTTGGTACTCCCAGCATCTGTGCCCTTTCTTCCGGAAGAGGCTGGCGCCAGGACTCGCGCTTCCAAAGCAGTGAGGACTCCCTGTAAGCCTTGACCGGAAAGCGGCGGTTGTCCTGATGAAAGCGCTCCAAAGACTCCGGTGACTCGGAAGTGGCGGAGTCTAGAGGGTGCCAGAACTCCCGAGTAAAGGTGAAAAAGGGAAGTGCATGGCCCTTCATCACCTCCTGCGGGGTTGTAATGGGTGTATAACCCTGCAGCCAATGCACTGACTTGGGCAACGGCTTTGATCCCACATACCGCAGCTCAGGGGGGCCGGACTGATGCGAGAACCATTGCCAATCGTTGGGTGCCTCAGCGCTCGATGGTGAAAGCGACTGAGTCCTAGAACACAGCCAGTACAGACGATTGCGCTTGGTCCAACCACAGAACTGTGCATCAGAACGGAACGGCTGGCCACCTGCCCACTTCGAGAGCTGTGCCGCGGCTTCGGGCTGCATGCTAGCGACATTCTCGAGGAGCGTGAAGATCTCGAGGTCAGCACAGGCTGGGCTCGCATGTAGCTCGTCAAGCAAGCGGCGCACATGAGATGGTTGGGACGCTCGGGTGTCCGCCATACCTTGTCTGTGAGTGTTGAGGCTGCTGTGCGGTTGACAAGGCGCACCTCCACCCAGTAAGATGCCTCTTACCTTGCGGCGTTGGAGGAAAGGCAAAAGACACTCGAGAGAGATATCCTCAACCCTAGCCACATGAACTATGCTTGGCATGTTCTGCGACGCGACCTGACGTGCTTGCTCATCCTGTTCAGCAGCGAGTGCGTAAAATGTGACCCCCAGGCCCAAAAGTGCAACGCAAAGCCCACTCATGCCCGCCCACAGGTCGAGCACCAGCCATGTGCCTCGAGGCGGTTGCACACTTGGGAGTTGCGGCAAGTCTCCGCTACCTCGCCAAGTGACCGGTCTGGTTGCACGAAGGCGCTGGGCGATATCACAAGGCAGCTGCAACGTTGGTGCGGGGCCAGGGTTGTAACAAGTGGAGGCCGAAGCAGGCCCCGGGAAGAGGCAAACCCTACGCACCTCAGAACCAGAAGAGCTCGAAGCAATTCGACATGAGGTGGGTGCGGGTGGTCCGGGTGGGATCGTGGCGGGTTCAGGCCCTAGCAAAACCTGACGAAGATTAGCCGAACTGGATGCAAGAAGCATCGCTGGTTCGGCCTGGGGTGTCTGAACGTGCGAAGCCTTACTGGATGCGGGCACGGGAAAACACAGCTCCTCCAGCTTAGCCTGCAAAGCAGGAGTGAGCGAGATGTTGTCAGCCGCCGTGTATGCCGTGAGACACCACCGTTCTCCTGTGAAGGGCATGGTGGCATGTCGAGTGCGGGGGCAGAACACATACGGTCGCATGTGTGTGTCCACCACAATGCCCATGGCGTTTGCAGAATCTGAGCATGGCATGCGCACATCCCCGGATGCATGCTCTAGCCAGAGTTGCCCGTCCGAGAATTGGCCCAAGGTCACAGTAATATTACTGGAACCCTCGGCGTTGCCACGGTCGGCGTGTACCTCAAGTCTAGCATTACGGCTGATGGCGATGGAAGTCCATGTCAACTGAGGAAGCAAGCTATGCAACCAACGGTTAATCAAAGACACAACCTCAGCAGCCCTCAAGGTATGCTCTGAGAGTCGCGCCGGAGGCCTAAAAGTTATCAAGCCCAAGATTAGATACACCGGCTGAGCGTCAGGATCAGCTCTGATGCCTCGAATCTGGTTTGACACATGTGGAAAGGCATCCCTCAGTGCCTGGAGCAATGCGACTTCAGAAAACTCACACCTTGCACTCTGTACCTGCCCAGGGAACCCCCCTGAGTGCGACGAGAGGCCGTCCCTGGTTCAGGCAGAAGGATGCTGCATGCGAGTGTGTTGTGTACTAGCACAAGGCGCGCCTGATGGTAAACGAACGTCACAACCATGAATGTCAGGGCATGGCGACTTAGTGCACCCGCGACCGTCGTTCCATGCCTTACAGAACTTTCTGCCGCCCTTTGCCATGGATACAGTCTGCAGGCGGGGATTCTTGGGTGCAGGTGGCAAGCCGAGCTCCGTGGATGTACGCTTCTTGGTGTCGACGGAAGTGGCCTCAGACTGTATCGACCGAGGAAGCGGTGCGCGCCACTCAAGGTGGCACTCCTGGAGCGCCAAAGCCAGCGCCGTGCACGCATTGTTACCACGTCTGATGAGGCTCGCCATTTTTCCCCTGGTGAGGTTGTCGTTCTTCTCATACCACGACACGCTGCCCGAGCCAAACTCCAAGCAATTGCGAAGGCTCAGGTCGGCGTAATCCAGACACTCGGTCAAGTCAATCATCCTTTTCTCGACGCCGTCGCTGTCCTTGCACATAAAGTTGCCGCCCCAAGCCCACGCGTAGGCGAGCGTGCGAAGCCTCCAATAGTACTCCACCGCGCTGCGCAAGGGGGCAAGGTGCTCTTTGTGCATCTGTAGGACGACGCCGTTGTTGAGGGTGATGTTCTCCTCGCGTGACGGCATCGATTGACTGACAACTGTCTTGATTTTCCTCGCATCAAGCACGGACATGCTTCTGCGTTTGAATTCGCGGTGTACTCTGCCTCTCAGGCTATCGGCAGGTTCCAAGTGCGGTTCGATGATGAACGAATAAGTGCGCTTCCAATCACTCTGAAGAGTCTGCATGGTAGCCTCGGGAAGAGGGTCATCAAGGTCAAGGTCCCCCTGATGCTTGATGGCGGACTGTTGCGAAGATTCGATGGCCACTGAACCCGCCTGCCACGCCGCTTTCACTCTCGCGAGGGCCAGTCTGTTGTCTTTGATGGACGGGACCTCCTGACAAAATGCCGCCACCGAACTCTCCCACTCCTTCTTGTTGATCATGAAGATGAAGTCGTCGAGGGTCTCGATTTGATGTTGAGCCACGATGGCGGCTTGCCACTCAGGCAAGACGTTGCATGCTGTGAAACAGGTCTTGAGTCCTTTGTCATCAGCCTGCAAATCAACTCGATTCATGGCCGCCATGCGATGCCAAGTGAGGAGGCAAGGACCTGAGGGTCCTGGGGAAAAAGGACTAAGGACTCGAGAACTGTGCAAGCGGATCAGACATGAGCCTCGGTGCAACAGCAAGCTAAGCAGCTGGGCCCGTCAAGAAATATGTCCTCGTTTTCGAATCCTCCCGGTCCCACTCAGGCCTAGCCTAGGCGCAAGAAGTAGTGACCTGGAAAGGAGATTATAGAAGGAAGCCCCTAGCAAGCCGCTCACCAGGTCATCTCAAGGGTTGCCCCAACCGGCTCGGTGGCAGCGCTTGCAAAAGTGCCGCTCGTGACCATCTCGACGATCGAGAAGAAGGCGGCGATGGCACCGTCGATGGCATGCTGGATTGCCGCAAGGGGCCTGACAACGAGGTACAGGAGGTGGGGCATCTGCCGTCGATACCAATGGAGCTGGATGGTGGGTCTGGCGCCGCCTGAACTCCCTCTCAGCGATCAAGGCCTCCAGGTAGGTAACCAAGTCCAGCTCGTTCAAAGTCGCGGCCCAGGCGGCGGCAGCTGAAGATTCCATGTTGCGTAGATCAGCAATGTGTCGAGGAGGGGACGGCGGACACTGAGTTGAGGGCCTAAGGACCTAAGGCACGCTACGGAACCACAGGAAGCATGGGGCCCTGATGAAATCCAAGCGTGTGAAGCCCTGGCTGCAAGCTGCTCCAAAACACGCACGTGGTCCGAGACCGAGCGTGGTGATTGAGAGCCCGTAACTGCACCACCGTGGCAATGACTCCGCAATTGCGCACGACCGTGTCAGCATGAGAAGAAGCAGATGTCGAAACCATGTCCCGCACGTTGTACTGGACTAAACCGTGGGGCCAATGGTCCAGACAACCTCGCAAGAAGTTTACACTCTTTTTCCGGGGCGTTCAGATGCCCTTGGACTCGAAGAGTCTGGCCCTGAAGGACTTTGGCACACTCCTGAGACACCGCTGGCAAACTGCACAGTCAAATGGCGGCAAACCGTCACCAACTCGAGTGGGGTCCTGAGGGAAAGCGGACTGTCTACAGTATGGTACAGGCCGTTCACTTTCATCGCGACCCTGCACGATGTGTGCTTTCGCTCGCTGCAGAAACCAAGACCAACCCCCCAGGTCATCCAGCGGGAGTGCCCCTGCCTCCGAGTCACTCCCCTCTGAGTTGGATTCTGAGGAAGCCGTGGAAAAGGATGATGATGAAACATTGCTGGGCTCAATGTCTGCAGGCTGTGTCACTGCAGAGGCCGAGGCTGCCGCTACCCGAGTAACATGCTTCCAGAGTACCGATCCAGCAGGAAGAAGCGAAGGCTCACCGTAGCGAGCGCCTTGATGTCGCTTCACAGCTTGCATAACCGCTGCAACTACTTCACGCTTGGCCTGTAGGCTATTAAGCATCTTGTTGCCTGCATAATGGGTTGCCATGAGCTTGGGCCGCTTGCTCCTATCATCTGTCCGGACAGGCTCAGTCCAGGAACCAATGGCCTGTAGTGAGACCTCGTCCATACCCAATGTGGTTCCTCCCGTAGGAAGGAATCTGCGAAGGCGGTTGTAACCCACATGCGCGATCAGAGATTGGTCCACGCCACAACGGAGCAAGAAACCCCGGAAGAACTCCAAGAAACGGGAAGGACTTAGAGGTTTGCCTACCTCCAAAGGTGTGGAATCCACCACCTGCCATAGGTCCTCTGATTCCAAGCGAGGTCTTGGCATCAGGAAAGTAGCACCGGCCTCCAGCTGTGCCATGACCAAAGGTCTGATTTCAGCTAATAGACGAAAGTCCTCAAAGCAGACTTCGGGAAGAGCCCAATGGTAGGGTGGGCGTACCCCTTGTTTCTTACTCTTCCCCATGGAGCACTTGAACTCGAGCCAATCTCCGTGATCCTGCACCAAAGTTGAGCGCTGCAGATGCCGAAACCTGACACAAACCGCAGCCGCCAAGATGCAGAATGACGCGAGGGCCCTGGGGCAACCGGTCAAACTGGCTGCACAAATGAGCATGTTTGCAAACTCCCACGGCTGCAACTCCTCACGCTGCTTCTGAACATGCCCCGGGGCATGCAAACGGTAAGGCTTCACAAGAAAGTGCTCAATGTCGAAAGGGACCCCCAAGTGAGTGCGCAGCCACTTGAACATCTGGAAAAGCGATGATGCTGCCGTCGGTCCACCGAAGCTAACCTGTCTAAGGAAAGCTGCCAGTTCACGGGCATGTGGTCGCACGACGTCGAAGCCCTGCGGCCCCGCAAATCGAAGCCATCGTTTAAGGCCTGCACAGATGCCGCCGACATGATCAGGTGACATACGGAGTGCACACGCTAGCACCACTTGGGTAGCCTCCCAGACTTTATGTTCATCCTGCAAGTCCAAGGCGGGGAAGCCAATCTCATTGTGGTCAAGAATGTGATGGTACAAGAGCACAAACAATGCACAGCACTTGCTTCGAAGAGATGGCGCCACATTTTGTGTGGTCCGGTTAACCACACAAGGCTGTATCACCTCAGATGAGGATCTCCAAGGCACCAAAACTTTACAACGAGAGGTCGAAGTAGCAGATGTAGACGAAGGCCCAGGATTTTTAGGCAGATGAGACCTCGTACTAGGAATAATGCTTTGCCTGCACAGCTGGACAGCACTAGAATGCACAGCCGTTTCAGAGTCAGAGAGACGACGGCACCGATGCCAAAAGGAAACAAGTTGGCAGGCACCGCCAAAATCATGAGCTCTGGCAGAAGCAAATTCCTTGAAGAGATCAGCGCCATCGCACCACATAAATGCCACGTCCATGTGTGACGCACATCCTGTGCGAAGCAGCCAGGCTGCTGCATCCTGGCTCATCGCCTCATGCACTTCAGAAGAAAAGGCATGGCTCAGCATAAGGACAAAAGAAAAAGACGAAGAGAAGCTGAGCCAATGCTGCAGAGCGTTTGGAGTATGGTGCTTCAAGCAGCATGAAGGCCCTACACCAACCAGCCATTCTTTCATGCTGTGCAA